TCACTTAACTAGGGCTTATTTGGGGGGGGGGTAGGGCTTATATTGCAAACATCCTGAAAAATCATACTGGGGTTTATTTTCCGGTTTGGTCTTATTTTTAGGGGAACAGGGTAGCTTGCATCTTGACAGTCAGCTTTTTTTGTGTGTAACTTATCCGCCCAGTGCTCTGCTCCTTTTCCCACTCAGATGTACTTACCGCACACAGGCAATGAAAGCAAATCCACTGCTGTGCCTTCTGCATACAGAAACCTCTGTACAGTACTGTCATTCTTGCTTTATTTGTATCAGAGCATTGCACAGTTTAATACAGTATTATGCTATGCTCTGGTACGAATAAAGAGAGAAGTACAGACATTTCTGCATGCAGAAATGCAGTGGAATTGCTTTTATCATCTGTGCTAGAAATGGAGAAATCCCATGTGGGTTGGTAGAATCAATCTATAGGTCAGTTTTGTTTCATATGTAGATATTGGCATAATGGTAAAGCAATGCGGATAGCTGGTGATGCAGGGTGAACTCATGCTAATGCTATACAGAGCTCACAAAGCAAATTGTCTGTTGCCTTGAAGCAACCTTGAGCACTTTGAGTGTGTTTGCAAAATTAAGGGAAGAAAAGTTAAGGGGGGGGGGAAGAGTAAATCCAAGGACAAAATACTGTATTGTAGCCTGCTAAAGTCTAACAAATCAGTTTCAGTGTGAACTTTTGTAAATCAAAATCTACTTCTTTAGACATGATGTGTCTTCACATCACTTCTGAGATCTCTGAAGTGTTTTTGATCCACTACATCTTGCACTGAAACAAATCTGTGTTTATTTTTCTTTCCTTTTTTTCCTTTTTCCTTCTTAATCCCCCCCCCTGCAAAATGAGATAGTCTAGTACAGCTTCTCCTTTGATAACTTTGAGTAATGTCCTTACAAACAGGCCTGGTGACTTGCTTCAGAATTGGCAATTTGGGTTGCCTTGGCAAGATTTTACTTAAAGGATAACAGTGCCAGTCTTCCACCAGAAATTGTACATTGGTATGTTTGCTCAGAAGTAAATTGTATTCTGTCTTACCTTTGTGTCCTGCTTCTCCTTTGGAAAAAGAGTCAGGTCTTCGGAGATTCAGGCACTGCTTAGTCTGAGACCTGTTGAGCTATAACAACATCTGGTGCCAAACCCATTAACTACAAATGTGTAAAAGAAGCACAGCAGCAGTTGAGAGACAAAAGGAAAAAGAAAGAGCAAATTGAAACAAAACTAACTGGATCAGAGAGACTCTTGGCTGATATTTGTGCTGTCACATTTGTGAAAAATCTGGTGCAACCAGTGTGTGTGTGCTACAAATTTACTGTATTCTCATGCTTTATATTCTCTCTGTTAATCTCTAGGCATTTTCTAAAAATGAACCAAAGTAATTCTGAACTGGAAAAGCTCAACAGTGATTCTACAGAAAACCTCACACCTCCTTTCCAAGGAATTCATGTCACTTTCACAGCCGGCTCTACAGACAGTTTGAATTTGGACACAAATATGCTCAGTAATGGAGGTAATTACACTGGGTGTACTAATCTGAGATTATGGTGCTTGTGTAAGAAATAATGTTCAGCAAATGGGGTGTTTGACATTCATGATTTTGTAAGAAAACTGCCCCTGTATAGTAAAATTGCAGTAGAACTTTCCAAAGGAATTATCACGAGGGCCTATCTAGACAGCCTCCCAGAACATTGAAGGCGTCTGAGGTTTTATGATGATCTGTTTGTTTGCAACATTTCTGTCTGAGCACACAGCAGTTTGTCCCAAAGCAACCAAATAATCCCTACATTTTCACTGTGGATAAATTTGATCACCACCAGCCACGTTTTCCAGATCTTTTGGCACCGATTAAAATGGAGAAAGCACTTCCACTGCTATTTCATATCCTGCAGATTGTGGGTGGGAGGGAAGCTGCCTTCAGTATTCATGGCCTATTGCTTTGATTGCCCCACTAGACGCTTACCCCCGTTAAATGACGAAATCGCTTGACAACTACTTCTTTGCGATCGCAAAACGATGGTTCCAATGGGGGAAATCGGGTTTACGATGATTAGGTCCTTGCTTCGCGAACCATTTGTTCGCAAAAGGATGATTTTTCTGGCTCCGCAAAATGGCTTCCCTTCGCAAAATGGCTGTTTTACAGACAGAAGCTGTCACAAAACAACTATTTTAAACAGCTGGTCGGTGGTTCTCTATGGGCGATCTTCGCTGGACGATGAGGTATTTCCCCCATTGGAACGCATTAACCGGTTTTCAACGCATTCCAATGTTTTTTTTCGCATGATGACATATACAGCAATTTTAACGGAACGGATTATTTTCATCATGCGGGGCACCACTGTATATATATGAGTTGTACATAGGACAAACTCAAAGGGTTTTGGTCCTTGACTAATAATGGATCTATTCCTGTTGCATTCAGAGGCTCCTGTCTCCTATGATGGTGTCTCTGGAATCAGGAGGAAGCCCTTTGCTGCCTGAAGGCACTGGATAGCAAGGGCTTCAGAATTTGCCATGGTGACCTATTGGGAATTGTGGACAACCAAGAAGCCAGTTGCTCTCTCTTGAATAAGGACCATTTTGTCCTTAGGTACTACAGCAGCGGGGGGGAAAAACACCCAAGTTGTTTTCCCATTTATTGGAAAAGGTTAAAAATAAAGCATCATCTAGTTCCTGCATTTCTGTCAAGGATAGTGGAACCTGCTCAAGGATACACAGCTGCTGTCATGAAGCATGCCCCTCATGGGCTTAACTGGATATCTTGGTCATCCTGCAGAATTCAGGATGGTTGGGCAAGCTGTCATGGAGGGAAAGGTTCTGCCGTTGTTGATCCTTGTTGCCGATGCTTCTGAGGGACCCCAGCATTCCTTGGAATGCCATTTGATACAGTTTCTGTGGGCAGTGTTCACATCCTCCAGTTCAGTAATTCAGAAAACTAGGATGAGGCAAATTCATATGTTATGAGAGAACTAACTGCTCAAGTGCCATTAGCAAGGATATAAAGACTCTCCTTAATCCAGGAAGAGACTGTTTGCTCTGCCCCCGCATGATTTCCTTCTTCAGCCTTGCTGTCAGGAGGCACAGCCCAATTAGCAGCTCATACACAAACACGGAGAGGGAGTGCCAGTGGTGTTTGTGGAGGGCTTACTCATACAATCCAGAAAGCAAGCCTTTTGAAGCCTTTAAAGTGCCCCTCAACTAGCAGTGGTTTGGGAAATGTCTAATATCTACCTTATCCTGTGAATAATGCCATACTGCAAGAAGCTCCCGACCCCCACCCCCTGTATCTGTTTGCTTTCCCCCAGTATCTATTGCTGAACTAGTTTGGATTTTTTCCCCCTGAGTCTTCGCATGGCTCACCACATTACTTAAATATTTGCCCTGTTCCAGTTTCTCTACTCTTTGGCAGCCAGTGCCTTAACTGGTGGTGAAGGGCCAGGTTGTTTTCAAAACACTGTACAACATTGACTCAGTCGTCCATTAACATCTCTTTACTCAACTGGAGGGCATCATTTACAAGTACAGCTTATACAGATTGTACTCTTCTTGGCGTGTAGTAGGTGAGTCACGGTAAACAGCCAAGGCTTCACATTTTGCAAGGATGCTCTGATGAGTTTTAAAACGAAGAATAAAGGATGAACTAATATTCCAGTCCTCCCCTCAAAAATGAATCAGACACTCTTGAACTTGAACTCAAGGAGGAGCTTTGAGTTGCATAAGAGCAGCGGAGAGGCCCTAATTTCCAGACATCTGGCACCGATTGAATGCTCTTCCCTTTCTTTGATGACACATTGCATTTCAGAACTACAAAGGGATGGGTCTTCCCATTTACCTTGGTTAATATGACACTACCTTCCAGTGGTTTTCAGCCACTCTCTATAGGCTCTCCTCTCTGTGCTTAACAGAAGAAAACATAGGACTTTCCCCCAGGAAATAGTGTTGGTAGCAGCAGCCCTTCCTGGGAAATTCTCCTTGCTTTCTCCTGCACTGTATAAGACTCTCCTCTACACAGAGCAGGAGAGAAGAAAACTTTCTGCTCAGGTAAGGGAGCGTCTAAACACCAGAAAGCATAGGGGAGGAATGTGTTGGCTACAGTCAGAGTGGTAGGAATTTAAGTCCATGATAAGCCATGCTATCCAACTTGCTTTTTCTCAAACTAACTGGACTGTTCATCTGTGCAAGCATTCCTATCGAGTTTCTCTCAGTATATCCATAATAGAGGAACCCCAGCTATCTATTGGATTGGGGAACATATATAACGGAATAAGGGAAGAAGCCAAGGTCATATTATGTGGGGAGCTGAAAACCAAGTCTTGTGAAGAATGCACGCAGTGGCTGTTCATCCGTGTTTTTCAAGGAGTCAGCTCTTCTAGACTCTAGGTGGCTAAAGTGTGTATACATCGAGTGGTTCAGTATTTTTTTAAAAATGTTTGTCCCTTTTCTTTGCAGGTAGGCAAAGACTTTTTTTCTTCAGACTTTTTCTCAGTGGCTAAGGGTCTCCTCTTGAGGAGAAAGGTATAAGTATTTGAAATCTATCGTATCAGGATCATTGTTTGTGGCACAGCTAGGATAAAAGCTTTGGACTGGAGTGAATTCCGTCTCCCTTGCGCTGGCTTGGTGGCCTTGAGCCAACTGTTCTCTCTCAGGATGCTTCTAGAGGAAGCCCAGATGAACATGCCTACGGATAAAGTTTTTGCTATGTCATCATACTGCCTCATTCACGAAAATAATTATGATTAATCCAAATCATGTCTAGATCAGTGAAGTGGAAGGAGAATAGGCATTATTTTTGAACTATACAGTGGTGCCTCGCTTAATGATTGCCTCGTTAAATGACAAAACCGCTATATGATGACTGTTTTGCGATTGCTTTTGCAATCGCAAAACGATGTTTTAATAGGTAAAATCCGCTTTGAGACTATCGGTTCCCTGCTTCGGGAAACGATTCTTCGCATTACGATGTTTTTAAAACAGCTAATCGGCGGCTTCAAAATGGCCACCCACTGTGTAAAATGGCTCCCTGCTGTGTTTTTGGACGGATTCCTCGCTTTACAGGCACTGAAAATGGCCGCCTGTATGGAGGATCTTCGCTGGACGGTGAGTTTTTCAGCGCATTCAAACGCATTGAACAGGTTTTCAATGCATTTCAATGGGATTTTTTATTTCGCTTAATGAGGATTACACTCTACAGCAATTTCGTTGGAACGGATTATCCTCGTTAAGCGAGTCACCACTGTACTTGTTGGGAGTCTAAAGTAGGATGGTTGTGTGTCTAGCTTTATAGCAGATGGTTCTCTATTGGAGAGCTGACAGCGGGCTGTCAAAGGATTCTCCTTTTCACAGGTGGGTGACATGTGTGCCCTACCTGGTTTAGTTCATCCCACACCATCTTCCTACCTAAGCAGGTTGGTTCAGAACAAGAAAAATCATACTCCTTTTGTTTTTCATTTTTTTCTAAAAGATCTGGAAGTGATCTTCTCTGGTCACTTTCAGTTTAATTTTTTTAAAGCACATTTTCAGAGGGTGTGCAGCCTACAACAGGATCCCATGGAGCAAAACTGGCTTCTAGAAACATTAAAGGTATCACCCTTTTATATGTGAATGGCTATACAGGTTACATCCAGTTTAAAAATGAAGAACCCTGCTTAGGGATGAACTGAGAGGACATACATATAGGCAAGGTGGTGGGCCACAGTCTTCTCACACACACGCCACAAAAAATCCAGATGATCTCATCAGTTTCTAGCCATCTTGTGTGTTTTTCCATGCTTTTTTTTCTTATTTGGAAGAATAGCTGCACTGTGCCTTCATTAAAGTTATTGATAGTCTTCCATTTGGAACCATGCTAGATGTGATGATTACAGAACCCAACCCAAGTCATCACCAACACAAAGCCTATAAAGCAATAGGCTCTGGCATATTATTCCTCAGACTAGAGAGGTCATGGAGAAGCATGAAGTTGTTTCAGTGATTACAGATTACAAACTGTACAAGTTACAAGCACTTTCTAGGCAAAGAGAAAAGTTTCTTGCATTTCTAAATCCGTCTTGTAAGAGACATAAAAGATCTCATTGGAAGAAGGGGTGGGCCATGTTCCCTTGAACTAGGGAAATAAAGTTAGGCCAATCTCTGTTGGCCACAAGCATGGCCAGCTTGTGCTAGCCAGTTCCCTAACTGTTTGTCATTCTTGAATAGCTGGTTTTCATGCTAAATGAGCAATTTGGATTAAGTATTCTTTGGACGGTTAATACATTGCTTTGACTAAGGCAGGATATAAAGACATTTGATATTGTTGTAGAGGAATATGGCAGGAAGGAAGAAGAAAACATCGCTTCTCCAACAGGATGAAGTGGGGTTAGGGGAAGCCCTGAGGCGCCTGCTCAGGAAGACAAGACTCTGATCCAAAGCGGAAATTGAGCATACTTCCAGAAAATCAAGCAGGCTGTTTATACTGATTATTTTAGGCCTTAGAAATATGATATTTGTCTAGTTAAGGTTTACCAAACTTTAGAAATCTAGCAAGTTTCTGTCACTTCGGGAAGCTAACAACACACAGATATTTGTAAATTTCATGTGGGCTGCCTCACACCAGAAACTGATTCCACACTTAAAAGTAGTATATCCCTAAAAGGAAAAAGTTGTCTGTTTAATCTAATCTGAGTTTGCCTCAGTATGTATTTGGCAAATTAGCTTGCTTTTGTTTTGTAAATGATCAGTTGGGAGCTATCTAATGTTTGAAACTCATAGTGCTAACAGATTAACTTAGCCTGAAGGGAAGACCTTGTAAGAGCAGGAAATACCCATATCCAGTAATTTGAGGATCTGACTCTTCTTTGTTAGTCAGAGATGAGTGTGAATTGCTTTGTCAAATGTTTTGGCTCCTAAACTGATAACCAGCACAAAGTTATTTGATTTCAAGAGAAGTGCTTGGTCTGAAAGTGATTGTTCTTGTAGCACAGGGAATGGAGAGAATTCTCAGGAAAGTGGCATTTATTACATTTATTCCCATAAGAGTACAGGTGTGGTATAAACATTTACAATCTGAAGGCAAAAATAACAGTTGCATTCTCTGTGTTAATGGGGAAGTCATTGATCACAACAGTAGTGGGGCCTTAAGTAGCCTTTTGCCAGATACTTCCCTTGGGTAGACCAGAAAACTTGGATCTGAAAGTAATTCAGGTAGAAAAACCCATCCAGTCCTCAGGCAGCAAAAACAAGAGAGCTGTTCTGCTTGTACAGATGATTGTAAGCTGCCTTGAATCTCTGTATGGCAGAAAGGTGGCATGTAAGTAAGTGAATGAATGAATGAATAAACAAATAAAAAAAGCACCAGTGTTTTTTTCCTATAGGGTAGTGCATAGGCTCTTACATATGTTTTTAAAGTTAATTCAAAGGTTTATTATGCTCACCTCCTGCTGATATGACATTAAACGTCAATTTACTTGCAATTCTCCACCTCTAAAATAATGTTGAAGCCAGAGTTCATTCTGAAATCTAATCCCTTTCTGTTACTAATTAAAGAAGAAGCTGAAAAGATCCATTGAAAAACTGTATGATTTTTATGGTTCACTTATTTTCATGATTTCATGATCCACTGATTTTTCTCTTCTGTCATCATTATATGTTTACAGTTGTACAGAGGGAGTAAGGAGAAGGGGAATGATTCCCTCAGCTTTGTTGTACGGTTAGAGGACTAGCGCGGCTGGCTTAGCTCCTGGTGCCTCAGCACATAGAGGCGCCCTTTCCTCCTGCAGGGGTGGCACACTGGGAGTGGAGGAATATGGAGCAGAGTAGTTATACCCCCTGCTTCTGTCACCCCATCCATCAGAAGCCACCTGTAGACCTATATGATCAGTTTCTATGCATGCTATTGGACCATGCCAGAGAAGCTCCCATGCCACATTTGGATCAACTTTGATAAGTTGTCTATACTTTGCTTGTACATTAATCTTTTTTAGACACAACCTGGTGGCAAGTTTTGAATTTTAAAAAAAATAATCTTTATTCGTCCAGGTCTCTAGGAATCTCTAGCTTATTGAATCCGTTCACTTGTCTGCATGTTTTTCAGGACAGCCGTGCAACACGAATCTTCGTTCGCCTACCTGTACTGGGAAGCAGATCTTTGCCTTGCCTCCTTTCCCTGCCTGTTCCAGCAAAGAGAGGCCAGCCTGCAAACCCTTACAGCCACCTCCTCTGCCACAGAAGAAAACTGTCAGCCGAGCTGTTTCCTCCCCAGATGGTTTTTATTGGGGCCCAGCCTCTCCAGCGAGAGCTGTGGTTCCCACAAGCCCCAAGTTGAACTTCAGTCAGTCGGAAAGTAATGTCTGCATCCGTGAAGAATCTCTGTTTGGTTCTAACCTGGGGGTTAACCACCAGGCGTTTTCTTCCTCCGAATCCCTTGAGAAAGCTTTCAAAGGAACTGATTTCCCATTTCCATGTTTGGGTAGTAAGAACAGCAACACCTGCTGTAGCCAAAGCAAAAACCGGCCGTCTCATTCTTCCTCCCAGCCCAGCATGTCCACCCAGGTGTCCTCAGGCTCCAGCCTTCAGCTCCACAACCTCCTCAGCAATATTGACAACAAGGAGGGGGTGTACGCCAAACTAGGCGGGCTGTACGCAGAATCCTTGCGCCGCCTGGTCTCCAAGTGTGAAGACTATTTTATGCGCGACCAGAAGAGCGAGTTGCATTTCAGTGAGAACAACTGGTCGCTTTTCAAGCTGACGTGTAACAAGCCTTGCTGTGATTCAGGGGATGCCATATATTACTGTGCAACCTGCTCCAAGGATCCCTTGAGCACTTATGCGGTGAAGGTATGTAGTTGCAGAATGCCATCTCATAATATTTTACAGTCGTGCCTCGCTTTACGATTGCCCCATATAACGACGAATCCGCTTTACGATGCCTTTTTGCGATCGCAAAAGCAATCGCAAAACGATGCTTCCTATGGGCAAAATCTGCGATGATCGGTTCCCTGCTTCAGGAGCCAATTTTTCGCATTACGACGATCGGCGAACAGCTGATCGTCGGGTTCCAAAATGGCCGCCGGCTGAAGAAAATGGCCCCCCGCTGTTTTCTAGGACAGATTCCTCACACCGAAAATGGCCACCGTATGGAGGATCTTTGCTGGACGGTGAGTTTTTAGCCCATTGGAACACATTAACCGGGTTTTAATGCGTTTCAATGGGTTTTTTATTTTCGCTTTACGATGTTTTCGCTCTACCGAGATTTCGCTGGACCGAATTAACATCGTTAAGCGAGGCACCACTGCATTTATTTATTTATTTATTTATAATGCAAACGTTGGGGTGTGTGTTTCTTTTCATTTGCTTTTCACTGCCCCACAAATAAAGGCAATTCAGGGCTGCAGCCGGCGGTATTTAGGGTCAGAGCCAAAAAACTGGGTAAAGTGCATAGCATCTCTTTGTTCTCTCTTTGCTGCCCCGTTCCTTCTTACACACAACACTGATTGGAATCTTGTTGCTATTTTTGTGGGTTTTGCGTAACTTGCTGCAGCTAATTGATGAGGTACTGGGCAAATCTTGGTTACACTGTTGGGCGCATGATCATTCCTGCATATGCATGTATGCATGCACACACACACACACACACACATTGGAAGAGATGTAGGAGTGGCAAATCATGCTTATTACAGACGTCTTTTGCTGAAATCTTGCTGCATGTGACTCTGCCACATTGTGTATGAGTTGTATGCATCCTGAAATGGCCTTTCATCAGCCGCGATTTGCCATAGATGATGACGTCTCCATTGTACGAGCAGAGCTGCAGAACAGGATTTCAGCTATTGAAATCTCACTGTGAATGTGTTCAGTTCCCTTGTAAAACCATGCAGGTTAGCAGTCATCATTAATTCTTGTGGTGGTGAAATCCATATTTGACTCTGTACTGTATAAAAAAATATTTTAGCTATCGTGGATCTCCCATCATTCAAATTCAATGAATGACTGTAAGTTGTACTACTATGGAGAGGGAAAAACTTCTTTCTATCCACATTTTTTCATACTGTGCATAATTTTCTACAGCTCTTATCATGTCTTCTCTTTCTTAATTTTTTTCTAAGCTGAATAGATGCAAACGTTGAAAATTTCCTGGATAAGAGGGTTGCTCCATCCCCTCAGTTCTTTGATGTCCCCTTTTCTGCACCTTTTCCAACTCTACTGTATCTTTTCACAAACTGTAATGTTTAAAACTATACACAGTATTAGAATTATGGTTGCCCTATAAAATTGTGTAAGGGCAATATGATGTTGGCAACTATATCTGCATTTCATTTCCTCATTTGCCTTTTGTATAGCAGGTGTACACTGTGTTGACATTTTACTGCCATTTAGATCAACAATTCTTAGCTCGAATACCAGTGGTGTATGCGTGACGTTCGGAATTTTTGACAGTATACATTGAGTCAGCCTTGCTTGAATTGAATCTCATTTGGCTGGAAAGGATACCTCCTTTTATCTCCTGACTATTAAGCTTCCAAATGAGTCATTGGTAAGGATCTTTACCAAAAGCCTTTTGGAAGTCCAATAAGCAACTACTAACAAATCATTTTTTACTGTGTGTTTAACACTTTTCAAATAACTTTGATGAAACAAGACCTGCCTGTGAAGACACCATGTTCATTCTTTTTCTGGAGGTTTCCCTTTCTGTATGTGTGCCAGTTTTATTTTTAATAAAGCTTAACCACCAGTCTACAGGGAACATATTTTAACCTAACCAACTGTTACTTTCTTAGATCTGTTTTTAACTATTTATATCACCTTAGCCTTTCTCCAGTCTTCTGGTACAAAGTTTGTTCTTAGGGACACATTACACGTTTTATGAGAAGATCAGCAATTTCACGTTTGCGTTTTTAAAGAACTGGATACCATCTGAATGTTGTGATTTGTTTGCTTATGATTTGCCAGTTAGGGTCTAGAATTTCCTCTCTTGACACCGCTATTTGTCCCAGATCCTATTCCTCCAGCCCCATCACGCTCAAACCCAAAAGACGAGCCAAAGGTAAGCTCCAAAGAATGGCTCCAAATGGGAGCAGATAAGAAAAGAACAAAAGACAATGTGTACGCAGTATTTGCTCATCAGCCTGCCAAAAGCTGTTCTCCTTTCCTAAGAGGCTGGAATCAAGCCAGTAAGTAGGGCGCAGCTATGCCTGGTTGCCATGGCATCCCTTGCAGTGCAGGTAGAAAAGAGCAGGCCTGGGAATGAGTCACAACAACTACATTCCCACCAGGTGGAGGTGCCAAAGGTGGACAGGCCCCTGTAGCCCTGTAACTGAGGGGATGTTAATTTAGTGCAGATTACTGGTAAAAGCATATTGGGAGACACAGGAAACCGTTCCCTGGGAACTTCTCTTCTCCAAACTCCATGCAAAAGTATTCACATTGTTATGTATGGTTGTCATTTCCCCCTCTTAGCACTGTTTGTGTGTGTGTCTGTGTCTGTGTCTATGTGTGTGTGAGAGAGAGAGAGAGAGAGTTTTTGAGGGTTGCTATATTTTTACATGATTGCCATCATGTTTTCATATCTGTCTTTTGCATGGGGGCTGGAAACATGCTTTTCAGAACAAATACGTAACATTTTCAGATTATTTTTGGATTTTTAAGAAGAATGATTGAGGCAGTGCAGACTCTCCTAGTGACTGCATCTGGGGATGTGAGCTTGTATCTTGGGACCTAGAAATAAGATTACATGGAGAAAATGCAGCTAGCTTCACGTCGTTTGGAACGAATGCATTCTGTCCCCTTGGTGAATCTGAAACTTGTATCATTTTTGTGTGTGCCATCTCTTTCTTCATGAATGCTGACCCTGATTCTCAATGCATCACACAGGTCACTGTCTGCCAGATTCACAAAAGAGGAAAGCCCAACTTCCTGTCAGTTTGGTTGCTTGGCTTGTTTTAGCCTTCCAGTGGATGCGTATTGCAGAAGGAGTGCGATTGGAAGGAGAGGAGACAAACCCTTTTTTGTGCTCACTGCAGACCACACACATGTGTCCCTGCGCTACAAAATGTGCCTTTATTGTCTACCCCTGGCAGACAAGTAGCACACTGATGCTGAGCCAAAAGAATGAAGCTATAAGCTTGGCTGCTGGGCACAAGTTCCAGTGTGGAAATGCAGCTAGGCCGTTGGGAGAAATGCTTTCGTTTCCATTGCTGGAATACTTCAGATAGACTGTAGTTTCAAGGCTAAGCAGCTGAGCGGTTTGGAGCTTTTCCTTCCTCTCTCTTCCTGTGTTTGTGTAATATTGTGGCACCGGCTACAGACATGAAGGAAATTACAGATCTGATCACTGCCTGAAGTCAAGCTTCAACAGTCCTGATTCTTTGAAAGCAAGATTCCTCTCATCCCTCAGAATTGATGCTACGTTCATGGTTTTTTTTTTTCACACAGAGGTGAGCGGGACTGAGGGTGGAAACTGAACCCAAAGGTTGTTCTTCGTCGCCTCTGTGAATGCACACAAATGGGTTGTTCTGCCCCTGTGCAGAACGTCTCAGAGGTTTCTAGAGCTTAAAGACATGTGATTAGTAGGACGTTCCTCCGTGGAGCGCATGCTCTGCCCTCCAAAAGTCCCCTCAGTTCCTTTTTGCCGCTGCTTCAGTTGGACTTCTTTCGGAATATTAGAGTGATTACGGGAAATCAATCCTTTAAACTAATTTGGCTATTTTCAATTATTTTCAATTAGATTCACTCCTTCCTTTGGGAAAGGTCTCTTAATCCAACCTCGATGGATCCAGCAACCTCTCCAACTCTGCATCCAGAACGTTGAGAAACCTCTCACCCGATATCGAGCCCAACAATTCCGTCACCTTGACAAAAGGACCCTTTGAAGTCGAGCTCAACCTCTAAAGCTCCAACCTGGTCCCGATGACTCATCTAAGAAAAAGAAAGATAAAACTAAAATTAAGAAAACTAAGAAGCCTACAAAATCAACTCAAATAGATCGACCTCAACTGGTGATCCCATCACCCATCCTCGAGGAGTCATCTCGAGATGCCCCTGGTTCGATTTCGGATAGAGATGACCCAACTCTAACACCAGCTCAGGCTGCAGCCTCCATTGCTAGCCTTTCGCCGAGTACTGGCCTATCTCCGGCTGATGTTCATTCCAGCCCGCCTTCAGCCCATTCAAGCCCTAGACCATCAAGGCGGGCGATACCTATTCAGGTCTCTGGCTCGGAGTCGTCGCATCACTCTCTCCGCAAACATAGGACAAAGAGATGACACCTTTCTCCAATCCAATATCCCCCTTTCCACAGGGAATTTTATTATTATCCCAAACCATTTCGGTATCCAACTAGAGATGACTATGGGGAGCGGTACCATCAATACGACCCCTACTATTCTGAAGACCTGACTGAACAGGTCTATTATTATGAACCAAGGAGGGTGAGATATGCTTCTTCACCCCGATATTCACCTTCCATATCACCTTCATCACCACGACATTGATGCATTTCATCCTCAGCATATCCAAAATCGACTCACCATACATCGATCCCTACAAAATCTGCCCTCAAATCTACTCTCCCGGTACCAGATTTTCAACTGCAACCCAAATGAGCTAAGCACTCTACCAGGCACTCTCGACATCATACCTCTCTCCAGGTCACCACCACCTACAAAGGGTCCCCATCTCTCCAAGTCACCACCACCTACAAAGGGTCCCCGCCTCCTCCCCCTGACATCGAACAATGTCCGGTATCACAACTACCTCCACCATCACTACCATCGGCATCGGCAACCAAATCACTATACCAATCATCCTCACAATCATCCCTTTCCACTCAAGATTCAACA